CGGTTATCCTTGGAGTCAAATATTTTCACAAAAAGCGCAACGATGAACTCAAGAAACACCATAAGAAAATTAGAATTTGCATACTGATCGGAAATGTTTTACCGATTTTGTTTTCGGTGACTCTGTTATGTTTGAACTATTTGACGAGGGACGATAACGGCGACCCATACTTCCGCCTGCCTACGACAGATTTCGATGAAACCTTAAATGAGAGGCCGTATTTCATGAACGTCAGTGTCTTTATGTACCTACCTGAACTGAACCCAACCCAAGAGCTGAACCAAACCCATGAGTCATCAGTCAAGTTGGCCAACTGGGTTCGGATGACGTCATTGAACGATTTACTGACCAAAAGAAACGAGGAACTTAAAATAGATGTTGAAACTAAAACACCAGGAACAATGGCGATGGCGTTATGGAGTGGCACTAAATCAGGCAACGTATTTTCATGGAATTTATCTGGCTGCTACCAAATCACAAATTTTATCCCAAATATTGCTGAAAGTTCAACATGTGAACATGTAAACAAAACAAGCTCAGCTTTTAAATCATATCTTATCAATCTTTATTACAAACAGCCAGAGCAAACATTTCGTTCACAACTTTTGGGGGAAATCTATGTCAATATAAAAATGGCAATTCACAATCAATGCAGTGAAATAGATAATTACTCCGAAATTTTGGAAGAAGTGAAAAATAATTCTTCCTTCGTTATGCATTACTATCATGTTAGTAGCAGCGTAAGCTCAAAAGATGCACATCTTTCACGGAGCAAAGGTCAAGTCAAATTCTACAACAGCAATGACGTTGATATGATAGATGTCAAAAAAGTATGGAAGACCGGTTGGTGCAAATGTGAGCCAACTGGAAGTTTCGGCCCAGTTTTTTATAAAGCTAAAAGTATTATTTGTTAACTGTATAAGATTGTATGAAATATGTTTGATTCATTGTTTTTTTTATATTCTTTATTTTTTATATACAGTTTTAGTATGTGCTTTTTGATACATTATTTTTTCATGAAACTTAAAAAAATTATTATCTGTATTCACACATGTAAATAGATTTACACTTTTTTGACAAAACATGAATATACTTTTTTTTTTCTAAAATAATGATGTCGATAAAATAAAAATGTACATGTAGTAGTTGTTTGTGGAAATATTATTGATTATTGTAAAAACTTTAATTTATAGTTTGTTAAATGCAGCAACCCAACAGTATTATTTACAATTTATGAATATGGCAGTTAATGAATTATCAAACATTGATGCTTAGTTTTGTTAAATGTCCAGTAAAACTTCTATTTCATATTAAAGCAACAAAAAAAAAAAACAAAAAAAAAACAAACAAGAAAATAACTATCTTATAAATGTATTATAAAAAATTAATGTACATGTATCAAAAAGCTTTATATAATAATCCCATGTTTGAACAATAATTATGTAACATTAAAATATTATTTTTGGTCTTATAAAATAAAAAAAAAGCCTCTGTGGGTCAGGTAGCTAAAATACATTTTCTTTTTATGTTCCAGTTTTTTTAAACCTTTTCTTTTATTATTATTGTTTTTAACTACGACGATGTGAACTTTTGTGAGTTCTATAGGGCTGGTAAGTAGGTCACCAACCAGTTCCATGGCTCATGCAGGTTTATTGAGCCGTAGAACTGGTTGGTGACCTACAGCCTATCAAACTTTGCTGTCTCAAAGGATCACCACATAAAGGCACATTCACGAATCACGACAGCGCGTAAACTTATTGGTAAAGAACTAACCATGGAACGGAGTGGTCTAGCGGTAGAGAGCTGCACTGCTAACCCGTAAATCTCGAGTTCGAATCCTGGTTCTAGTCAGTAGACCGTCCCTGAGTTCACCCAACTCTGATGGGTACCTAACTCACGTTAGGGAAAGTAAAGGCGGCTGGGCATAGTGCTGACCACACTATCTCTTCATATGCCGAGGTCACAGAAACAAGTGAACTCTACTTCACTTGCCCCATAGACCGTCAGTGTTGAAAGGGAAACTTTACAAAGAACTAACCACCATTTGAATACAGAGAATACACGGGGAAGAAAAAAGGAGTAAATCTGTTACTCTTTCCTCGGGATTTACAGTTATAGTGTGGCCAAGTCATTTTTACTTTCCCCGACTTAAGTCTGGTACGCACTAGAGCTGGGTGGACTCAAGGAGATCCTTTATGCCCAATCATGTGAACCGAACTCATGACTATTTCTTTTAAATCATTCGTTTTATCGCTCATCTAGGCCATCCCAAACTTTTAGGTATCTAAAGTATAGCTTTATAAAAAGCTGCTCCAACTTTTAATTTGAAATAAAGCTAAATATATATTTAATAAGAACTAAAATAAACGAATACCAAACTGATAATTATCATTAAATTACAATTTACCTACAATCTTTAAAAAATGTACACGTGGAATGTAACATGTTCCAACTACGTCATGACTGTTACAGCTATCCCATAAATCCTCCAGTTTCCACTGTTAAAATATCTCAAGACTGAATTTGATGGGACTATTTGGTAAAATAGTAGAGCATTTGACTGCTACGCCGAAGGTCTTGAGTTTGAATCTCGGTTCGAAATCTTGACTGCAGGACTTCCCTGAGTCCACCTTGCTTTCATGGGTACCTGACTTTCGCTAGGGATACAAAGACGGCTGGGCATAGTAGTGACCACACTTCCCCTTCATAAGCTGAGGTCTTTGAAACAGATGAGCTAACTAATGAGTCCGATGTGTCTTGGGAAAGAACGAGGAAAGAAGATGGTGAAGCGACACAATGTTGACATTCTTTTCACCTTCGTGTATCTAAAAATTGGTTGTGAAAATGGTCTTGAAATTTGTGCTCATCAGTTCCTTCTATTCTGAAAAGTGGTTTTTATGCTGCTATATCACCTTTTCGTAACAACCCAGTTTTTAGCGCAATTTCCTTAAAGGAATTGCGATTATTAACTCGTCATTTCTGGATGGATGGATGGATGTGTGTCCGCAGCTTTAAGTCGTATCTCCTCCTCAACGAAGCAATATCGAGGACTAGTTCCAAAGCAAATATGTTAAGCAAGTTCCGAGGATGATTGTGGGCTAAAAAAATTCCCGGAATTCCTTCCCGGAAAAGCCAAAATACCTCGAAAAAATGCAGTTTTTGGCCCATATCTCGGCAACCAGACCACTCAGCGACTTGAAACATTTACCAATCGATTCCTGCCATAATTTAGAACAATATTGCCGAAGAAAGTTTTCAAAAATATCCTTTCGTTCGGTCACAAAAAATTAATTAAGGAAATTGCGCTTAAATTGTCACTAGACGTTTTATTAACTTGTTTTGTTATGCTAAAATGCCACTTTTTAAAACGTCACCTCGATATGTCACCCGATGTCAACCCCCTACATACCCTGGTGACGTCACAGAAGAGTCGAGTCCAAAGCTAAACATAAATCTCGCTTCAATGTTCTCAGCCAACAATGCCAAGCCTATTGTTTACTCCAATCTCAAATAGCTCATGTTTGGATTGCATGCCGTGGAAACCAGTGGCGTAGCCAGGATCGTCTCATGGGGGGGGGGGGGGGGGGTTCAAATTTTTACCCGGGGACAAAATTTTGATTTGCACCTCCCCCCCCCCCCCTCAAAATTTTGATTTGCACCCACCCCCTCGAACTTTCGATTTGCACCCCTCCCCTCTCAAACTTTCGATTTGCACCCCTCCCTCAAAATTTCGATTTACAGCCCCTCATAGTTTATATATATACACCGAGGGGTCTATGGTGGCCGGGTTTACGACCCCCCTTAACCCCCCCCCCCCCCCCTGCCTACGCCACTGATGAAAACTGATAGTTCGTAGTGTGTGGTTGCTCTTTCAGTCAGTTATGTGAAAACAACCTGATTATCGACTGTATTTAATAGTTTTGAATTAATATAATCAATCAACGTTGCACATTGTCATTAGGTTATTCTGGTAGTAATGTTTGTTTTTACTGTATGCGTTTAAAAATGTATTTCCAAAACAAACTGCATTGCACATCTGTACTATCAAAGTCTAGAACGTGTTCGTTTATTCTTAATGGAAGTACAATCTACCAATACTGTAGAACATCTTTAATTAGATGAAAATAAAACTAGAAGAAAGAAAATAAATCAGAATGAATTCACTCGTCAGAAGAGATTGAAAACAAAAACAATGTGAAAATACTTGATGAGGTGTTTCTTTATTTAGTCTACTTTAAAAATAATAGCTACAAATTAACAAAAAGCTGTACCAATCAGACAAAATCTGACGAAATATTGAATTAAAAAAATATTTTTAAACTATACGACATATATATATATATATATATATATATATATATATATATATATATATATATATATATATATATATATATATATATATATATATATATATGTATATATATATATATATATATATATACAAATGATTTGTTAAAAAATAGACCTTTTTTATTATACACACTTATTTGATTCATCTGTTTTAAAATAGTTGATTAGTTTTCAGGCACATGTATAGAAAATACGTAATTTAACAAAAAACAGATTATTTTGATTATTAAACATAAGTATGTAGGTTTAATATAATAATAATTAAGATTCAGGTTTATAGTTTCTAATATCACTAACAAAATAAAAACCTTATTGTAAAATAAATAAACAGTATATTTAATAAGAAACAAATTATTTTGATAATAAAACATAAGTAAGTAAGCTTTAATATCTATATTTTACATTAATTGTTCATTATGTTTACAACAATAAACACCGTTAAAAACAGTAAGGACAATAGTAAATTTAAATTTAGTAATAAATATTATTTTTATAATTAAACGCAAGTAAGTGAATTTTTAAAACTTTATTAAAGATGCAATTCATATTATTTTAAAGACAATCAACATTTTTGATCATAAGGTGACAAGTAAATTTAAATATAAAAATACATCTATTTTTTAAATAATTAAATTTAAGTACGGGAGTTTTAAAATCTACATTACCCATGAATTATAAATACCTTCTAACAGATTTAAAATCTTCAATAGCGAAATTATTTTATAAAATGAACACCTCTATGCATATTCAATAACAACAATGGCGATAGCTATACCAAGCTCAATGAGGGTGGCAAGGATGATGAAAGCTCTTGTACAAACCTTCTCACCCTGTCCACAACAACATTCCCTTAACAGAACTATGACCAGCGTAACAAAATTGATCGCCACCACAGCTAGTTTCACCTGCTGGATGGTAGTCACTTCCCCAATGTACAGTGTGGCCAGCAGGCTCAGCACCATCTGGGGTACGTCCTCCACCCACACGACAACAGCCGATACAGTATCCGGATCCCATCGTTCCAAGCAATAATTCACTGTCTCAACCACATACGTGATGGTGCCGACGATGCAGAAAATGAGAATAAAAAGTGTGATCAAGTCTTTAAGAGTGTGGGTTGTGGTAAACACGTCGCGGAAAAACCACCAGTCAAAAACAAGATCTGCTGTATCAATGAGCCAAAAGATGATACACAAAACGGGGTGGGGTTTCTCATAATCTGTAGATCCCATTGTTTAGTTGCTTTTAGTTTGTGGATGAATGTAAAGTTCCAGGAATTTAGTTTTTCTGAATATCTGTTTATTGTCTGTAACAAAAATAACATTTGGCAATAAAATAATGTTATATAAATGTTATATAATTGTGACATATTCTAATATCCTTTCAAGACCTACCAATACTTAAAGAAGATGAAGTAGAGTTCAGCTATATCTGTACTAACTGCAACCAAACTTTCAAAATTACGCTATACTAAAATCAAAATAGCGTATTTGTATTTGCTAATTTATAATACTTACTGTACATATATCTAAAATATTAGAATACATTATTTTATAAATTTATGTATTTTAAACTTACATTAGAACACGAAGTCAAGCAAACACATTGAGATCTAGATCTATGTCTTACCGTTACAAACTCTGGCACCTCTTCTGTGTGAAAACACTCTTTCTGCGCTATTTTAAGAACTGAGAAACACGTTAAACTTAATGACTTAATTCCTGGAAATAGGGTTAGGTGAACTCCCTATCCCTAGGGATTCTAGTAAAAAAAAATTCATGTTATTTCAACACATTACATGCTGTACTTACATAACACTGAGTTTTACTTGTTAATAGCAATTGATTAAGTAATTAATTAATTAATTAATTAAACATACCTGGCTATTGTGCTAATAAAATTGACTATCCAAGGCTCCTTAGCTCTAAGTGAGCTTATACACGGACTGATGTTTGCCTGTCTAGGCTACAATGTTGAGTCTACATCTGTTACCCAGATGAAAAATCCTTAATCTGTTTGTTACACAAATAATTAATGGTGTGTGAAGTTTCTTTGTTTTAAAATCAATGCTTAAAATACGATCGATTGCTGTGAGCGGGGGGGGGGGGGGGGGGGGGTCGGAATTTGGTGACTGTGGGGTGGGGCTAGTTATAAACTGCATCTACGAAGCGTACATATATTTTAATCAATGTTTATTATTTAAATATTTTATTATACTACTTATTATTGGTAAAAAAAAATTAAACCTTTGTTATATTATCCACCCAGCAACTTTTTTTTATCATTCACTTTTCCGGCTTTATTAATTTTACCTATTTTTTTTTACCCGTGCAGGGCGACTATAGAGGTTGAGGGGTGTGGGGTTGTGTTGATGTCTACTTTGTTATCAAAACACGAGGCATAAAAAGTTACACATATCTCTCCAATGAGTAGAAAAGAAAACGAAACCAAATTTACTAGAAGACCAAAACTAGCTTGATTTTAAAAAATAAAACGAAAGCAGGGTATAAAATAACTACAATATTTTGTGTGAAAGTTATAAGTTTTGTAAGTTTTTTTTTTTTACAAGACCCATTACTTGTTGGCATGGGACTGGGCCTGGGTCTGTGTCTGGGTCCACAGTATTGAAATAATTGGCACACACGATGCCCCAGTTTTAGCGGCACGTTCAAGTTGCGCCTACTCAGGAACAATCAATACTGAAACTTGGTGAAACTTGGGTTATTCCCCTTTCTACTGTCCAAAACACGCCAGTCAATGAACAGACATTTGAATGAAAACAATTTCTAATATGACGGAAGGCACAGACTACCCTTTTGACAAGTGAATTTTGACAAGTTATGAGACACTGACGAAAATAAACCAATGTTAAGGAATATGTATCAGATTAAAGTTATAGGTACCATAAATCAGCTAGAAAGCTACAAAGCGTGTATTTAATATGAACAGGTAGCTAGAAATGTAAGATAATTCGAATAATATACTAATGTAGCCTAAAGGCCGATAAATATGTTTTATCATTTTTATCAATTTCTTTGTATATTACTAATTTTCGCTTAAAGTTAAAAAATAGAATCTGACTTTTTAATAACACGATGATTAAATCATTTTCCCAATTATATATATATATATATATATATATATATATATATATATATATATATATATATATATATATATATATAATATATCTAAACATACTAAGATTGTAGTCAAGCTTTGGAAATTAAGATGAAAGAGCTTCACATTTTAATTACACTTCACCCCCACACCCTCCACCCCCACTCACATTTTTTACCTCCCCACACCCCTCCTCTAACTCCACTCAAAAAATCAAAACAAAAACCAACCAAAAATAAACCGAAGAATGTTCAGGTTTTTATATTGTGATGTTCAAACGAATAACATGAATACGTACATACGTGCACACTTCATTATCATCATATATGTTACCATATAGAATCAACTAACTTAGTCGTTAAACATTTAAAAAAATATCGGCGTGTATTTAACCATTTCGAATATATTATTGAAAGAAATACAAACATAAAGTAAAATGCATGTGTATGAATGTATACACTCTTCTGCATAACGTCTGTTTTCCTACAGGCAAATATTCTAAGATTTCAGAATTTGAGGATGAAAGGCGATAGTTTGGCGTCGAGAAAACCTCACATTATCACCGACTGGCTGTGAAATAGTTAGCCGAATATTTGGAAGAATTGAAAAATAATTCTTCCCTCGTTATACACTACTATCGTATAAGTAGCAGCATCAGCTCTGAAGAAGCTCATTTTTTACGGAGAAAAAGTCAAGTAAACTTCTACAACAGCAATGACGACTGATGTTGATTTGATAGATGTCAAATAAACCGGGAGTGATCTCCCCTAAAACTTTCTCGAATATTCTTATATAAAACAACAGTAAAACAATAAAAACAATAAAATAACTATAGAAGCGTGTATTTGCAAGCAATGTTATTCCCCACACTGTTTCTGGAAACTCTTTTCTTAAAGTACAGATTCGGTATGCTGTTTTTTTTATATGGTGCTTGTGGTGAAACTTAACCTATGTATTAATTATAGCCCTTTATTCGTAAATGAATTGCTTGTTATAATAATATTACCAGGTTTTGAAACAGTGATTTTATCAAATTTAAAATAGTTTTGACATGTAGTAGCTTTCTTTTAAATATTGGCCTACTGATTACTATAAACTTTTAAAAGTATAACTGGTCAGCTTCAGCAACTGATTAATATAAGTTAGATTTCCAACTGCAATAAATTAGATTAAAGTTTAAACAGTAAAGGAACACAAACAAATGATAATGATCAAAATACGTAATTTTTATTGCATTGTTAAAGCAAACTAAATTCTAAATACTAACACAATTAAACAAGGGTAACAATAATTCACACAATAAATTTAGCTACACAGGAACACAGCTTACCACAGATCTGCACAAAATAACATCAGTGTTTATGTATATTTAATGTATCTCTACGGCGCGAATGGAATAGGTGATGTGGGGCGTGGGGGGGGGGGGGGGCGGGGGGCTGACGAACTTCGATACCCCATCACCTTCACAAAGTTAAAAAAAATAATTTACATTAAAAATGTATACTGTATAATGGTGTTTGTACACCTCACACTCACCCGGAATTTCCTAGTGGCATATTCACACTCCCCCCCCCCCCCCCCCCCCCCCCCAATTATTTTTTTAAAGTGCCCCAGAGAAAAATTGCTATAAAGAGACCCTTTTTATGCATGTGTTTGAGCAGCCTGCACAGTTAAAAACTCATTATTTAATATTGGGTCACAAAGTAATTACCTGAACATCTTAAGCGTTTAATTTATTTTACGAAAGCAATAACAACTCATCTCGTAAATAATCAGTTGATACATTGCAAACTTATAAACTGAAACTACAAAATTTTAAAAAGCGATAATTAAAAAAACAGTACATGCATAGATTTGTGAAACCTTTAAAATGACAATGATTTCAAAGCTATTTTTTCCACCCAACTCCTGCCAAAATAACAGCAATAACAAGTTCGATGAAAGTACCAGCCTTGATCCACTTTCTACTTTCACTTGTTTCACTCTCACAACATCCATCAAACAGTGCACAGAGCAGAAACAGCAAGTTCCCAACCACAAGAGCTATCTTGAACCACTGTACTCCAGCTACAGGTTGCTCGATGTATATGGCGGCCAGCAGACTTAAACATATCTGAGGGACGTCTTCAAACCAGACACAAAAGGCTGAGAGCTCATCTTTATCCATAAAACGATTTATATGGTTACAAATTTCAGCGACACACGTCACGGTTCCAACGCAACAGAAAATCCAAATCCAGAATACAATTGAACTATGTTTGACACTTTTTGCTGAGTCAAAATCGTTAAAGAAAGTCCAATCCAAAAAAAGATCCGCTGTAGATATTATAATCAAGACAATGGTTTGGCAGCAATCGTCATGTCGTTTTGTTTGTTTGTTGGTGCTCTTCTCGTTCTCAGATCCCTGAAATTAAATTAGTTTTTTTGTTTTATTTTTCAAATATAAAACTAGTTATCGGACTATTGTTAGACTGTCAGAAAATTTGTAACGAATTTACCTTGTTCAAAAGTGAAGAAGCGTTTTTGAAAAATAAAAAACCGATGTTAAAAATTAGTAAAATTATGTGACAGAACCTTATATACAGTTTAGTGATGTTCTTTAACAAATAAAAAGAAAACGTATTTTGTGGCAACTTACTATGTTTAAGTACACAGCATTCCGGGACATTTTGAATTCGATTAGAAATGTATTACAGTCTAAAAAAACAAAGAGAAAGAATTGTAGGATTCAAAGTATTTATACTCTTACACTAATTAAAGTTTGCTAATCTCTTTTTGTAATTAAAATTACATAACATAGTGTGAGCAATTATTAAATTTAGCATACAACAGAAATATGACTTTTTGTTAGTATTTAAAGTTAGCTAAACAGTGAAATAAGTTTTAGTAATGAAAGGTAACATAAAACAGAAAAAGGTCTTACATTGATAAAAGTTCAAATACAAGAGAAATAATGTTTACGGTAAATAAAGTTAGAAGAGCATTGACATAGGACGTACAGTTAATATAGCATTTACAGTAATTACAATTTATAAAACACTGAAATATAGCTTACGTTAATTACATTTAACATAACACAGAAACAAGGCTTACAGTAAATGAAGTTAACACAACACTGAACGAATACGTACAGTAATAATTTATTACATTTATCATAACACAGAAATAAGGCTTACAGTAAATAAAGTTAAAACAGAAATAAAACTCACGGTAAATAATGTTAACACAGAAATAAAGCTTATAGTAAATATAGTTAACACAATACTGAAATAAGGCTCACAGTAAATAATGTTAACACAGAAATAATGCTTACGTTTAATAATGTTAACACTTGGCTGAAATATGTCTTACTGTCATTCAATTTAACACAACACCGCGCGTAACTGCGTTGATCACACCTTTCTTTATAACTGAGAAAGTAGTCAGGTGAAACTACACACTGAGCGACCTGGACAAGCTGACACGCGCATGTTAATGTGACACGTCGACACAGCACAGTGGGATAGGGGGATTGTAAGGACGAGGGGAACCACAATAGCAATGAGCCAATAGGTGCGATTACTTTATTACTGTTACTTTCGTTATTCAAGAAATGGCGTATGGTTCCATTTCTTTAGTTAAAATGTTGTATCACTAAGTAAAAGTAAAAAAGTATACAGTTATATTGACGAGGTCGGTGGGCCTACTTATAACATTTTTAGGAGCACGTAGGGCGTATGACGGGGGGAGGAGTGATATTTTGCTTTTATAAATATTCTTATCACTTACCCATAATCCAGATTCTAACAATTAACTTAATCGCACCATCACCTATATTTATACTTAAAAATACTTTTTTTTTGGAACTTCAACTGTACAATATTTCTATTTTATGTAATGCAGGTCTATCTGCCTGTGTTTGTATTACACGTTTTAAAAACAGGTTTTGCCTTTGATGCATTTATTGACTTGTAAACAAACGCTAAATGATACATAAATACTACTCACAGAAAAAGTCCGTACCAAATTATCACGTGTTGTTTCTATGATCCAGTATCACTTTTGTTTTTTTATGTCCTATTTTAAGAAACGGGAATACCGTAAATTACTATGGAATCCAGGTACTCAATATGAGGAAATTTGGTTTCATTTTTAAACATAGTCTTATTCAAGTGATGTAATTTGCTTTCATCTATTATTTTACTATTTTACACACAGAAAAGCAATTTTAATCCAGGTGTTAAGCTATATTTGGATGTAGATACTAAGTTAATGGAGGGCTTAATTCTACGTAGACGCTCAACTCATTTATAAATGTTTGCTATTTCACAGAACTGACTAATGGTTATCTGTTTCTTGTTTAGGTGTTAATTTGGTTTCGTTTTTATTAGATAAATAATAGTGTGATTCGTGTGTGTAGGCCTGTATCCAGAGGCGTAGCGAGGGGGGAAAGGGGGGGGGGGGTGTGGACCGCACCGGGTGACACCATTTAGGTAAAAATAAATTGAGAAAAAATTGAGGTGGGGGGGGTGCAAATCGAAAGTTTGAGGGTGGGGGTTGCAAATTGAAAATTTAAAGTTTGTCCCCGGGAAGAGTCGCTACGCCTCTGGGGGGGGGGGGGGGGGGGTGACACCATTAATTGCCGTACCGGGTGACATCCGACCTCGCTACGCCACTGCCTGTATCATAAGGCTTAACTTGCATGATTTATAGTTGGTTTACTTGACATGGTGTCTGCTTGCCTCCACTTCAAATTCATTTTAAAAATATAATTGTTTTTTTTTTAAATTATAAATTTGAAACAATGAAAAATTCAATTGATTGTAAAAATAATTAAACTATTTATTTTCATAGGAGTTTGAGAACAGCGTGTAAGTTTAGCAGTACATAAAAAAACAACAATCGTACATATCAATGTTTTTAAAAACGTATTTTTTTTAAAGACATTAAAATAAGCCAATGACAAAGAAAAAGCAAAGCTTATAATTGAAAATGATAAACACAGTTCTTATTAAATCTCCACTTATTATAATATCAAACACTCAGTATTTTTATGTAATTATTCTATGTATAAATCTCTTGTATGTTAAGTTTTTTTTCGTAATTAAAAAAAATAATTACACAAAAAAAGCTTAAATAATAAAAAAAATTCATAAAAAACGTTTTAATAACAAGCTTTTATGTAATGATGCACTAAAAAGTAGAAAATAAATTATAGACTACTATTTAAATAACTATAAAGAAAAGCGTGGGTCACTTTAGTATCTATTGGATACCTTTACTAATGTTAAGGAAGACACCCACGCTTTTCTTTATAGTTATTTAAATAGTAGTCTATAATTTATTTTCTACTTTTTAGTGCATCATTACATAAAAGCTTGTTATTAAAACGTTTTTTATGAATTTTTTTTTCAGTACTTTACATGTTTTATTTACAATAGAGTTACATGACTAAAAACCATTGCGCGCCTACTGAACATCACGTTCAGTAGGCGCGCAATGGTTTTTGAACGCAGCCATTACGTGATGGCGCAGCTATTGAAGGTGATGACGCGTGTGGTGTGGTTGGCTAGACATGCCTACTAATTCGGTCCAAATCTTAATTAATTAATAAAAAATTAATTAGGCATCCAATTAAGTCAAATTTAGTTTCAGATTGCATTGTCTTCATGTCTTGACCCACGTGCCAACTGTGAATCGTATCGGTCAAGTAGAACTGTCCGAATTTTCACTCCTGCGTTTCCGTCTAGACAGACTGACGACAGACTGACGACAGACTGACGAGGAAGTGAGTTAAATAAAAGCTTGTAAAAAAGCTAATTTATAACAAATCAAAGCATTTCTGTAAGGGGGTCGTCCATAAATGACGTCACACTTTTAAGGGTCTGCGGGGGGGGGGGGGGGTACGTAATTTTGACAATAATTTATTAAAATAAATTCAACTGCAATTTTGAGGGGGATGGGTGTATATGCTGATGAGTGACGTTATTTAGGGAGACGTCTGGGTTTTTGTGACGATGTGTGACAGAGAGGAGGGTAGGAGGTAAAATCGTCATTAATGGATGACCCCTTATTCATTGATCATAAATAACAATAGATTGTTTTAAACAATAACTTGTGAATACATTTAATTCTTGAACTCAACAATAGCAGGCTAGGAAAACAAAATATATGTTAAAAGCGAAAGTACATTGCGTTTTAAAATAAATTTTACATACAATCTAATGATAAAACAATAAATTATTCAGAATATTTTTTGCAGCAGGTTGTCATAATGTAAACAGCATATATTGTACATTCAACAAAAAATTTAAACATTTCTAAATTCATAGTATAAAGTATGTAAAACTAAAAAAAAAATTTTTTAAATTTTTTGTTTTAGTAAGTAGGAAATAACATTAAGCATGTAGTGTGCTGTTATCAATATTGCACACATATGGAAAGGTTCGATATGACCAGCATTGTTCATTTATGATAATAAAAATTGCAATAGAAACTTCTAATAGGGTTCCTACAATTATAAACACTCTACAGTAGATATTCTCATCATCACCACAGCAGCACTGCCTGCAGAGATCTGTTAGAAGCACAGCAACCGACAGGCTGTTCACTACAACGACCGCTACCTTGTAGTATTGTACATATGTGACGGTCTCTCCAACACAAAGTGTGATCAGAAGGCTCAGGGTGATCTGCGGAACGTCCTCGACCCAGACTACAATGGCGGAGAGGGTATCATCTTTTATACACTTGCAGAATCGATTTACCATCTGAATAATGAAAATAATGGAGCCAATGATACAGAAAGCTAAAATAGCCTGGGTAACCCTGTCATGAAAACCGTTGAGAGTGTTTAACACGTCAAAGAAGAACCACCAATCAAATAGCAGATCTGTTACTTCTAGGACACAAAAAATCAAATGTTTGGTGACTCGTTTACACGTGCATTTGTCATTTCTGCACATTTTTGTGTTATTTTTGTCACAATCTAAATCCAAAAAGAAAAGGAGGCTGAAATCGGAGTCAACGACCTATACAGCGCAGAACAACTTGACACGTAATACTTGATTGTGTTGGGGGGAATCACATTCACCACTAGATTTAAGAGCGAAGAAGAAGTTCACAATCTGTAAAAAAAAACCTGTTAATCAATATTAATATAACATATAAAAAACCTTTTGTGTAAACAAAAAAGAAAACGATAACTGAATAACATTGTGAGGGATGCATCCACCCCCCTGTTTTTTTCTCATGTTGGGCCACTAGATAGTCCACATAACTCACCGCCTATTGATGCATAAAAAGAGGATGCAACCTTAACCTCTTTGTCTCTCTCTTACTTGCTCTGTGCTAGTGTTTCTTTCAGACTTTTTTTTCTCCGGGAGGGGTGCGCTTGAAACTTTAAGGGGGTGGTGGTGGACATTGGTAAAAGTATATATTTATATATTTTCTATATATAGGTTTATTTTCGAGTAGACGTGATTCCGGGGGGGGGGGGGGGAATGGAAGAGCTGAAGGGATGCCTGAAAGAAACAGTGCTCTTAGCTTACCTGTTTTTCGCACACGAAGATGGGGCCGTCGGACCGACGACTCTCACGAGGGTAGGGTTTTGTATTATTTTACGTAGTTCAATTTTTATTTACTGTAAAAATGTGTGTAACTCATAAAAATAGTTATTATTGTTACCAGGTGTTTGTTAAATCTATTTAATACACACGTAGTCCATTCTTATAGTTAACGTTTTGTTTTAAGTAACTGAGTTTACCCGTAGTTATCGGAGCTGCTAATTAAGTATACTTACCGGCTGTAAACCCTTACAAAGACAAAATATCATCAGACCTGGCTATTAGTATTGTTACATCTTGCTGTTACTAGCTACTAAATTTTACTAATACTTTTGGGAGCTAATCGTGCATGTGACTCAATTCGAGAGGCAGTGGTTATAGGCTTAAATGCAGTGTTACTTTCAGACTTTTTTTCTCCGGGGGGGGGGGGGGGAGGCACTTGAAATTTTCAGGGGTGCGGAATAAATTTTCCTGGGGAAGGGTCGGAAATTGGTAAAAGTATATATTTTCTATATAAATTCTATTTCATTCGGGAAATGGAAGAAACTCTGCCTATGTATAATTTCGTCGACCTATTACTGTTGAAACTATTTCTGCCGTGGCTCAGTTCACGTGACAGTCGATTACATATTTTACTATACATTTATTTATTACCAGCAGAGAAGTGGCTCTGACCCTTATACTGAATTATATTATTTTTCCTGTAGTTTTAGCTATTCGCTACTCGCTTATACCAGGGGTCTCCAAACTACAGCTCGCGGGCCGAATGCGGCCCACGAGGTCCTCTCTTCCGGCCCGCGGAGATCTTTTTGTCCACGGAAAAAACGTTTGTTGGTGATGGCTGAAGAACTTTGCCCAG